AATTTCCATGAACAGATGAGACATGTTTTGATGAAATTTGGTCCACATTTATATCTAATACAGCCTTGGCACATTCATTCAACGCGCGTCTTTTTCCTTTCGAAATTTCAAGTTTATCCAAGTCATGAATATTCCTATAAAGATTTCCCGGAGGATCTTTTTTAACAGAAAGTGCCATAGTCCAAATATGTTTGCTAACTTACATAAAAACTTCAAGTTTATGACTAAGGTTGACAATAACTTGTTTCCTTATATCCGCGCCGATAGTGAAACTTAACTTTGTGGTTAATGTAAGTTGTTTAAATGAATTCATACTACACGGCTGTACACATATTTCAAAATAAAGTCAAAGCTATTTTGGTCTGCATCAGAATACATGTACGTACTTTCTTCTAAACGAAAAATCGACTTATTGACTGCATGAATAAAAACCTGACAGAATGGACAAAAGAATGAATGAATGAATGAATGAATAAATGAATGAATGAATTAATTAATTAAAAAAGAAAAGATCGTACGAATGAACAGGAAACAAACGGTCGTTCGGACAAAACAACGGGGACAGGACGAAGCAGGTAATGCGACATAGTTAGGTTACAAAGTAAATAACATGTAAATCAATGTTTTTTGAAAATAACATTTTTATTTAATTTTGATTTCATCCAAGTACTGGTACCTTAAAGATCATGAAAATAAAGAGTAAGTCTTAGATTCTTTTTGTCTATTTTGATAATGACACATGGACTGGGAAGTTGACACATTTTCTACAAACTTTGACATTCATTTTGTTTCTGCATGTGATTGTGTGGACATAGCCGTCAAAATTGCAGTCCGGTGTATGCGCATATATAAGTATCTTAATGCAATATTGTCCGGATTTCAACTTCGCAGGATATTTAGGGATTTGAAATAACTTTACCAAAATATCAGCTTCAATCGTATAGACTATGTAAGAACCAGATTCGTAGCAATGGTCATCTGGCTTAGATGCGAAAGATCTGTACAGACAATAATTTCGGCAGAAATTTGGGACTTCTTAATACAGGTTTGTCCACAAGAACCAAACACAAGGTTACACTTAGATGTCAAATATCAAATCATTATGTTTGATTGTCAATTATTACGAATATAAGAATTAAGTCATGTTTAAGGCATTTTTTATTGCATTTATTCACAATCATTACTCAAGGAATAGTTAACTAAAATGGCCATATTTCCATGGTTGTTAAATTCATTGCATGTTACACTTTGGGTAAAAAAGGCAAAAAATTGTTTTGGCTCTTATTCAGATGGCTTATGCTGGCTTATATACACGGGTTAATTTTTCGTTTGATACCTGATTTTTTTTTATTTTATAGATCTTACCTTCAAAGGCTTTCGTATTATTTTAAACATGCCTGTGAAAATATGCACTGCATGCATATTAAGATAATGCTTATAATCAAGCAAACAGTTTTAACATGGTTTTCTTAAGGAAAGAAAGCAAAATTTTTATGTACGCATTGCCTGCATGGATATTAATAATTTATGTTTTGTTTGTAAGCGTTCAGAGACTCGAAGAGAGATTTCATGTGATTGACTCGGCACGTGTCGGACAAGTTAAAAAGGTGATAGTTAATACAGATGTTGACAAGGAAATAACAGTGGGAGACATATTTTGCATTGGTGCTGTCTTGATGGTACGGATATACCGCGGAGATAAGCCAGAACTAACAATATATGAGGTCGAACAATGGATACGCTACATGCAGTATGCCGGGGTAGATGAAGTCTACTTATATGACACGTATGAAGAGATCGGTGAAAAACTAGAATATTGGTGTAGAAAGATGTTTGACCCAAAGGAGGTTTTGTATCACGACTGGCACAATAATACTCCAGTATCGGCGTATCAACATTCGATAGACAATTATAAAAATCGTTGTGAATGGCACATAGCAGTAGATATTGATGAATATCCGTTTGTTATTGGAGACACTAAACCAGGATTTTTGAAACGTTTCATCAAAAACGTAACATCTGAATATCCAGACTGTGTTGAAATATCCTTCCCTAATTTCATATATTCGGGTTACCCCAAAGATTTCGCATGCTAATAGAGCGTTTACAGCTTCGGCATCCGTACAGAACCAACGAGCTAGATAAACCTCTCTATCGAGCCAGAAATATCAGTGAAGTTGGAATACACCATAACCACATAGAAGGAATGGGACAATCTATTGACATTAATGGAGATATAGCTAGAATGAATCACTACTGGGGAGCACGTTTACAAAATTGGAAACCGGATACAAACGAGACACTGTCTGGGACGATTAAGGATTCATCTATAATTCCGATTCACAAAGAATTAAAACGAAAAGTTCTTATGTCAAACAAGATGTCAGCATATGTTACAAACAGATTTTGGAACATGTAAACTTTCTTGCTGATAGCGTTGATTATTTTTATCCACATTTGCGTAACGATTAAGTACTTTCAGAATATTAATCACGTAAATTCAAACCTAGCTGACACTAATATCGATAAATTTACAATGAATTACAGTGAACATAATTTATTGAGAACAGAAAAATGTTTTCTTTTCCGTTTTCCTTAAATACATGCTGGAGGTAAATAAAACAAGAGAGAAAGTGGAAAAAGAGTAAGTTATAATTCACATATGTGTCAGTATGGACCGAATTTTACTAAGCATGTATGGTAGTAACATTAATGATTATTTCTGTTATCTGAAGAGAATCAAGCAATCTCATTGCTTTATTTTCATTTAATGAAATAGTAAAGTTGTCATACAAATACAAGAGAAAGTTTTGCTGTCTTCTACTTGTGCGTTTTTTCACACATATATAACCACTTGTTTGCGGTACTTGAAATATGATGAGATATTAGAACCAGTGCTTAAACACTTTCAATAAATGAATCTGGATGAAATCAATAAAATCATATTTTAGCAAGGGTTTGGGCAGTAATCAATTACACAATTTGAGATAACAAGTCTAATATCGACCAAAAGTTGACGCGTAATTTTCTCTATCATAAACTTCTCTGTCAAGAGAAGTTTAAGTGTAAAGATAAATCTGAAATCATAGCTTCAACTTTTTGTCTTGTTATCTTTGATGATAATCCGTGACATAATCGTATACAACATATCTTTGTCACAATGAATCTTAAATAATTATTAGCACTTTTCACTACTTTTTCAAAACATTTCTGACACTTTACCTTTAACCCTTTAATTAGTAGGAATCAAACATAACAAGCATTAACCCCTTGCCGTCGGATTTCACCTGCACATCCGTTGGCTGTTGGTATCTGTTCTTTTCTTTGTATTTTGATATTGAATTTTCTTAAACTTTGATTGGGATGTTCCACATTCAAAGCTGAACAAGTCCGTATGAGAAATATAGCAGATTAAGGGTTTAACCCCAAAAGTTATTATTGATTATCAATCTTTATTGCTGTACTGATATAAGACGCTGACACAAGTTCTATGGCTTATTTCCGAACGGCTGACATAAATTCTATGGCTTATTTTCGAACGACTGACACCTGTTCTATGGCTTATTTTCGAACGGCTGACACCAGTTCTATGGCTGACTTTCGAACGGCTGACACCAGTTCTATGGCTGACTTTCGAACGGTTGACACCTGTTCTATGGCTGACTTTCGAACGGCTGACAACTGTTCTATGGCTGACTTTCGAACGGTTGACACCTGTTCTATGGCTAACTTTCGAACGGTTGACACCTGTTCTATGGCCGACTTTCGAACGGCTGACACCAGTTCCATGGCTGACTTTCGAACGGTTGACACCTGTTCTATGGCTGACTTTCGAACGGTTGACACCTGTTCTATGGCTGACTTTCGAACGGCTGACAACTGTTCTATGGCTGACTTTCGAACTGCTGACACCAGTTCTATGGCTGACTTTTGTACTTATCGAAAGAAATAAAAACTCATGTCTTCCGATTCGACTACAGATCTTAATTATAACGGTAACTATATTGTCATTATCATTATTATTATTATTATTATCTTAATTTACTCTTTATAAACGTATTTGACAAATACATTGAGTTCTGTTAATCATGCTTTCTTCTTATATAATAACAAATTTTCTTAAAATTTTTCTAGTCTATAGCATATTCTTCATTAAAATTAATTGAGTTTTATGTGACATTTTACAGCCACGAGATCACGAATAACGGTCACGATTTCGGAATCTTGTGTGCATCTAAATACTGAAATAAGATACTACCCCGAACCTTTCTGGCATAATCTGTAGATTTTGTTCAGTAAGCATTTCTGGTACGCTCAGTAAATAGTGTTACGTTTCTTTAGGTATTTTGTAATAACCAAACGTTATTTATATACTATTGCTTAATTTATTTTGTTGAAACTCGAAGAAACTCAAGAAACTCCAATTGTGTCCAAAAGTCAAAACATTAACTTAATGAATATATATATAAACTTCTAACATATATCAACTAAGGCACTTGAACAGAAAGATATACGAAATATTGTTCAGAATATACTAAGGAATAATTTGAATGTGGTACATTTATGCTGATCTAAGCTCGATTTAAGTGAAAACATTGCAACGCTTTACAAATTTTTGGTCATTTTATCACATTTAGAATAATTATTCTGGAAAAAAGGAGTAAGAGAATGAATTGAAATTTTGCACACAAATTATAAATGTTCGTTCTAGACCTAATTCAAATGGAACATTCAACATTTCGAAAACATATTTCTAGTCCCGTCATGTCAAAAGAAACTTTTGTGGAATTACTTTAATATAACATTCATTACATAAAAACAATATACATTAGGGTAATATTAATTTGAAATCCATAGTAAGTACGTTTTTTTCTGTATTGTTTATGTTATCGTCTTCGTTATTCTGCACAAGATTTTATTCATGAAATTGTACAGAGTTTTGAATAAACCTAATTTCGGGTAAGTAAATATGGGTTCAAAAACAAAAGAAAAACTGCAACCAACATATTTATAAAACTTTACTTATCTTTTCGATTCACATTTGAGCAGATCCCAAAAAAATGGCGACGAATATATATTACACAAAAAAGCTTTTAGTGCGGAACTCTGACCAAAAATACATAAGGCCTATTTGAGCTAATATATTACATAAATTAATATAAACTTATCTCACACTATGTGGTCATCTATTGTGACAGCAAAGCGAAATATCAATACTAAACTGATAGTATTATTTTAAAGGTTAACAAAGACATACTTTTATAGAAAAGATGTGAATATTATATTTGTTAAACAATATTCAAAACAGATTGCCAAATTCATAATACGAGTAACACGCCTTTTCAAATATATGTACATGTATATGTCTTTGTGGGCATATGTGAAGCTGGTATCATGACCGAAATCATAATATAAACAAATAAGGGTCATGGTCTATGTTACAGGATTAAACATGAATTAATTTGCATATATGACATAACAATGAGAATGCTGATTGAAGAAGAAGGTGAAAAAAATAAGAGATTGGAGAGACGAAGTAAAAGTGAAGACGTCTCTCAGATTTTGTGGATAATTTTAAACTGCAACAAGAACACCAACGATATATACACGTCTGTCAATAGACTAACATATGTACAGCAGTTGTTTATCACCGAATTCCCTCTTAATGCGATTTTTCAAATGACGACTTGCTGTAACGAGAATCACATAGTCTGAAAACAGATTTCCTTTTGGAATTTCCAATGCAGAATACTTGTTATAAGTATTATGTCTCCACTTATCTAATCCATCGAGAATGATTAGGCATTTGTCTGGTTCGAGTTGTAGTACTTGATCTAAAGTTCCAATGTACTCCTCACTTTGAAGATGCAATCTTATCATTTCGTTGATAGAATCGCCTGAGCCCACATCCGAAAGGGATATCATGAAAACGAATTCAAAATTCTTGAGAATGTGCACGTTTCCCTCACTTTGAGCGTCACACCAAGCGGAGACAAGTTCCAAGCAAACTGTTGAGGCTCTGCCTTCTTCACCAATGATATGTATATATTTATGCTGTTTTCTTTGGTAGTCGTCGTAGAAAATACCTCTATAGGAAGTAACGATACCTGTTTTAGGCGACATTAAACGGCCACGTCCAAAGATCATCGAAATCCTTTTATTGAACCCTTTCTCTTTTAACGTTTTCCTGTGAGTTGTAATCAGAAAATCTTTCAGTTCTGAAAAAGTACATAAAATATACTTTTTGTTATTGAATATATTCGTTAAGCTTTCAAGACAATTTATTGCAGTAAACATATGTCAAGTTGTTCATTCATGATTAAAGCAAACACGTGCAATTTGTGTGAACTTTTCTATTGCTACATGTGTAATTGCTCAATAGTGTAATTTGATAATTATTCATTCACCTTAGATTATACCTTGATTTTCCCTACTTTTAATTAAAAAAAGTAACATTAAAAATACATGAGATTTCAATATAAAAAATAATACTCGATCTACCAATAATATAAAGGTTGGTAAGACTGTACAGATGTGAAAACTAATCTGGTAGATGGTAAGGGTTAATCATTTTCGGTTTCAGCAGGTAAATATTTTGTTAAGAAAACCATTTGTTTAAACCCTTTTGACTTTCCAAAGAAATGAAATGAAAAGTTCGAAATGAGCATACGACAAGTTAAGTACTTGTTTGAACGAAAGTGTATGTCAAATTAACTGTATAATAAATTAAACTGCTTAACAGTTAGTTCTTAAAATATACCTTGTTTTTTTCTCTGATAATCCTCATCCTCCGACACAAGTTTCGGCATAATGTGACGCTTGAACGTAACGAATTCCTGAAGAAAAGTAAAGTAACGAAATTATTAAATATCGTGATACATGGTATCGTATTATGGTGTTATTCAAACTTTTCATTAACAAGAAATGTTATTTATGTGTTAGACATACTATGTTTGCCCTTCAGTGTTAAAAAGGTTAACTATCCTGTTTCTTCAGCCAGGTAATCTACAATTATGTACAAATTGAACTGTGAAATGATTTTCATTTTCTTAAAGGCTTCATAACTGCACAGATCGTTTTCTTAAAGATAACAGTGACTATGATCATTATTATTACCACTATCGTATTACAAATGACTAAATGAATTCCGAGGATAAATGATGGTCAAAACGGAAATCCTGAAAGTCGGGCAACCCGACAAAATTGTTACTTTTAGCTTAGTTTGCCAAAGCTAGTTTATTGGTGGAAAGGCTTATTCAATTTTCACTACCGTCTACGCCCTGTATCATTAAAATAAGTATAACAAAACACGTAAAAATGAAATAAGCGTTTCATTAGGAAGCATCCCTCAAATGTGTTCATAAAGCAGTGATGGCAACAAAGAATCGAAGATGGTCAGATTTAAGTAATTTATTTTAATTACCTGGTAAAAACATTTGAGTCTTTCTTTAAATCCGAGTTTATCAGAAGCAGAAAGCGGACGATGATTCAAAGGATTGTTTGGCAGAGACAAAATTTGCTTTTTCACACTTGTCGAAGATGACTTATCTACTTGCAGCGAGTAAAACGGACGTTCAATATCAGTTTGTAAATCGTTTAGCTCTTCAGAAGTAACTTTTCTGCCAGGTGCTTCTATTACTCGTAAAGTGGATTCCGCTCTTTCTAATTGCAGTACATGATCAAACGTCAAGTCACTATCAGATAATCCTCGTAACATCTTGTCAAGTGAATATGTGTCATCAGCATTTAAATTTATTGGTCTTACACCTAGTGAATGCTGAAAAAAGATTCTTACGTATCTTTAGTAGGTGAATCTTTATCTGTATTAGATTATTTGTTTTTTGTTCCTGCAAGTAACTAATTCAAGAGCAATATAACAATTGATTTATTATCTATTTAGCATGACTAGTGAGTTTCTCACCAAATAGACATCTAGAGCTCAGAGGCCCGATAATGCGTTGAATAAAATGCGCAGCTTCTTTTACATCAAACGTCAAAACAAATAATGAAACAGGAATTCAAGTCATCTGACACGTTTGGTATAAGCATAATGCATACTTAATATTGAAATTGTTCATGGACGTTGGATAAAGAAATATTTAATCTTCCATTTGACGGATTTAAATAGAGTATTACTTTTTTCATATTTTTGGATGAGTTTGAAGTATCTTAAAATGACTTCATTCTTACTGAATTTTACAGATAAAAATTAACACAGGACAACTGCTAGATAGATATGTGTGTAAAATACACTGAATGATTCTTTTTTTAATGTCCACCCTAAAGCTGTAAATTATTTTATTTACAAAAATCAAAGGCTTGTTTACACTTTACAATACATTATCTTGAAAATTTAAAACAAATAACCGGTATTTCATTTAAGAATATTCGTATTGTGCATCTTCTATACAGATATTGATATTAGTTTCAAGGGTAATAGTACCTGCAGAGGTGACAATAGCTTTGGATCTTTTTGGTTTGATCGATTTCCTTTCTTCCTCTGACGACGTCCACATTTCTTTTTACAATCTAAGGAATTAAAACAACTATGAGAATATATATCAATTATAAATGATTAATATAACATCACTTACTGGGTTTTATCATAGTTAATCAGTACAGGTGTTAACAATATGAATAATCAGTACAGGTGGTAACAATATGAATAATAACTTTTAAAATTGCTAAAAGGCATTTTTAAAATTTGCCAGCGTTGTTTTATTTTGCTGTCTTTCGGAGTCACCAATACGGGTACAAATAATTTCAAAGTTTTTTCGCCTATTTTATTGTTTCCATTGCTTTGAAGAGATGTCTCTATTCCTAGAATATTTTAATACTTAATCTTAAAGTAATTCTGGAGGCTCTCCCGAGTCCAGATAATAATATGGTAAAAGGAACGCTAAAAAAATTCAAAACATGTATAAGATATATAAACATTGATTATCAAATAATACCTGATTCTATTTCATTTACAGGTTTGTCTGTAACATTTTCCATCACGTCTCCTTCTTCTTGTTTAGATACCTATTCATTACAAAATGAAATTTTATGTAATAATATCCAATGATATATAATAGTAAGCAATATTGTCATCATCTATTATCACTCACGGCCTGTCACTTAAGAAAGCAGAATAATGCTGTCACGTCGGTAGCAAAAACATATTTATAGGACGGTTGTTCAAATATAAATGCAACTAGGCCAATATCTCACTTGTACAGTCATGTATCGCATAGATGTTTGTGTTAGCTCTCAACTGATATGCGTAAATCAGTTCAGTCTAGCTTCGACTATACGCTATCTATCTACTCGTGTATTCCAAAGCTGGTTTAGGGAAAGGTTTCCTTTACTGACCAAATACGGTCCTACACCAAGAACAGCTGTATTCTTGGTATTTTGGCGAAAGACATATCTGCCGAAATATATCATGTTTATGGGAACAATGAACTTTCCTTTTTCATCTGTCACATGGTGGTGTAAAAAAATTAAATATGATGTGGATAAAGTAAAAGATACACCTCGTGCACGCCGTCCGAAAACTGCAACTTCGCCAAAAATGGTTAAAAAAGTAAAGGAATTTGATTGCTACTTATGCAAGATTAACAATTAGGTAAATGCGTTGGTATCTCTGTAGGAGCCGCTCAAACAATTTTCAGACGTGATTTAAAAAGGAGAAGTGCAAGATGGATACCCATTCTCCTTACAAAAGAGCAAACAAAACGTGCTCAGGTAAGAATCTCCAAACAATTATTGAAACAGTTCCCTAAATTCAACACTCGATCTTTCGCAAATATCATCACTGGAGATGAGACGTGGAATACTTTTATGAGCCCAAGCGAAAGATACATAACAAAATATGGGCAACCAAAGGAAGTCAAAGACGTTGCATAGCAAAACGCACCATGATCGTCAAATAGGTCATGTATGTAATTTTCTTTACCAGTCAAGGTCCTTGCCGTACCAAAGGGTAAATCTCTAAATGCAAAGTTTTACAAAGATAAATTAAAGAAATATTTCAAAAACCGTTGACCAGCATCTGGTCTCCGTGATGTTAGGTTGTGTATATGATACTATTACCTTGCTAGAAGAAAACATAAAACGAGAAAAATAAATCTATGAAAACGCATTTAAAATTGAATTAAAATACTAAACCTTAATGTATTATATGGTGGTGAGTATTTTGAAGGATTGAGATAATTCCTTTGGCACTTGTGTAAAGCACTCTTGAAACTGACCCAGTTGCATTCAGTTTTGAACACGCCTCGTAAGTGCTCTTCTTATGGTATGGAATATGGTGAAAAAGCTGGTGCGGACTATAAGGAAAGCGATTGTGAAATTTATGCTTTGCTAATTTATGTCAGTAAAGGCTTCCCTAAACCTTTCGATATGGCCAAAGATAGTTGCATATAAAACAAGTCATTTGACTACTTTACAGTGATGAAATTTTGAGTTTAGAATTCATTTTTCTGCCGTTATTTGCATAAAGGTACTTTTTCACAGTTTAAGAGTAGAACATTTCTACCCAAATTATATTAATAAGTTCGGTTCCTTTGGATATTGCTGAAAGGGCAAATGGGTTTTTTAGCATACATTGACTACGAACAAACATAATAAAAGTACTAATCTGCAAAAATCTATATTTAAACATTAAAGTACGTACAATAGCATATAAAGTATCAAGTATCTCTGAGCAATACGATAGCCGACCAAATTTCCTTGTACATAAAACATTGAATTCGACTTTTGGATATTTGATAAACTTTTGTTTATGCTACTTTTCATTCAGAATAGCAAACGGTACAGATGAATGCATCATCTATCAAACGGTTGTATTACATTTTTTTACATACCGATATTCTTGGTCAAATAGTAAATCATTAAGCTCGAAAATTAAAGCGAGTGTTTCACAGAATAATGTGTTGCATGAAGAAATTTAAGAAAGTTCAGCGCAAATGACAAATGTGAAAATATATTTTCATACTTTCAAGGTCCCAACTAAATTGGTTGCTTTATCAAAAAAAAAAAAACAACAAAAAATACCGGAATCACACTCCTGCTCTTTGATCTCAAAACTTGGTCTTTGGTGTCCTTTGTTGTTTTTGTTTGGTGTCTATTTGTGCTCCTTTCCGGTGGTCCAGTGTTGTTGGGTCGTGTGGGGGTTGCTGTCAATGAATTCAGCCCTTTCTTTTTTATCTTATTTTTCATATTTTGTGCACCTTTAAATGTAATTAATTATAACTAGAACTATCACTAAATATGATTAATACCCCCGCAAGACTGCTTCGGAAATGAGGAAGTTACTAGTAACAGAATACATTGCAAAAGAATTGAAATAGAAATATGGTTGTAGGCAGTTATAGATAGTTGTCGTTCTTTTTATTTGGTTGACCATTGATGAAGTTTTATTGAATTACTCTGTAATAAGTCCAGAAATAGTTACGTCTTTTGACCATTGCACTTCCTCTCATTGCGCTTGACCATTGTATGAAGTTGCATTGAATTTAAACATTAGTTTTAAAGTTATGCACTGGACAAGGAAAAGGAACAAAGGGCAATAACTCTACAAATACTGAAGATGGAGTAATGGCTATTGTACACTGCACTTCCTCTCATTGCCCTTGACCATTGTATGAAATTGTATTGAATTTCAAGTACTAGTTTTCAAGTTATGCACTGGACAAAAAAAAGTAACAAAGGGCAATAACTGTAATTTGTCCAAACACAGTTATGGTTCTTGTGCACTGCACTTCATCTCACTGCCCTTGACCATTGTATGAAGTTTCATTGAATTCCAACCATTAATTTTCAAGTTATGCACTGGACAATAAATAGTAACAAAGGGCAAAAACTCTTAAATGAGTCAGGAAAGAGTTATGGTTTCTGTGCACTGCGCTTCCTCTCAATATACTTGACCATTGTATGAAATTGTATTGAATTTCAACCAGTAGTTTTCAAGGTATGCTCTGGACAAGAAAAAAGCAATGAATAACAAAGGTCAATAACTCTATAATTACCCTGGACATAGTTATGGTTCTTGTGCACTGCACTTCCTCTTATTGTGTTTGACCATTGTGTGAAGTTGTTTTGAATTCCAACAAGTCCTTTCCAAGTTATGTTCCGGACAAGGAAAAGTATCTAAGGGCAATAACTCTGTAATTAGTCAAGATAGAGTTATGATTCTTGTGCGCTGCACTTCCGCTTTATGTGCTTGATGGTTGTATGAAGTTGTATTGCATTCCAATTAGTAGTTTTCAAGTTATGCTCCAGACAAGGAAAAATAACAAAGGGCAATAACTCTGTAATTAGTCAAGATTGAGTTATGGTTTTTGTGCGCTGCACTTCCTCTCAATGTGCTTGATTATTGTATGAAGTTGTATTGAATTCCAACCATTAGTCATCAAGTTATGCTCTGGACAAAAAAGCAATGGTAAAGTAACAAAGGGCAATAACTCTGTAATCTTGTGCAATGCACTTCCTCTTATTGTGCTGGACCATTGTATGAAGTTGTTTTGAATTCCAACCAGTAGTTTTCAAGTTATGCTCCGGACAAGGAAAAGTAACAAAGGGCAATAACTCTGTAATTAGTCAAGATAGAGTTATGGTTCTTGTGCACTGCACTTCCTCTCAATGTGCTTGAGCATTGAATGAAGTTATATTGAATTTCAATCATTAGTCTTCAAGTTATGCTCCGGACAAGGAAAATGCAACAGACAGCTGGACCGACCGACCGACAAATCGACCGACCGACCACCGAGTGACTCCTATATACCCCCAAACTTCGTTTCGGGGGTATAATAACAAACAGAAAAATAATGTTACATAGAAACATGCTTTGTATATAAAAATCTTCTTGCAGTTATTTATAGATAATCATAAATAAATATGAGATTAAGTTTTATTCTATCTTGACCTATCGACCGTCACAGTTTTTTTTTAAAAAAAGCATGAGATGGTTTGAAAGATCAACCCTTAAGACAACAACTTACACATTCAAAACGAAGATGATGAAACATTTATTGCATGTATAATCTTTGCCAATTTCTAGAAGTAATATTCAAAACAAGACGAAAGGACTGTGCTAAATCCTGTAGAACGTTTTGCACTATGTTTTTGAACTTTTCATAAAAAAAAAATTTGCAAGGATACACATATAGGAAAATTTAGGATTAAATTGCTAAATACCCGTGAAGACACCTCTAAACTCAATTAGATTAGTGGTAACATGAATGTATACAGTTTCTTCAAGCTGTTCTGATAATTTATCAGCAATGCTGTTCAGTGTATTGGCCGTTTTCACATTTTGCAAAGTATCCAAAATATGCTCCATTCCCTCGGCAGAACTGCATTTTAATGGTAGTGAAATTCCTTCTTCATAGACATGCTTTTGAGAGTCTTAAAATAAAACAGTATATTCTAAGTAAATGTGAGCTCTGAAATGATGTGAAATTAGAAAGACTTGTTAAGCAAATTATAAAGAGTGAACAATTGGTATAAATCTAAACTAACCTCTAGGAAAGTGCAATGTGATTGTACGATGTATGAAGCAAATACATCAAGGCCTACCTGAAATCTCAATCTCAGATAAACTTTCAAGTGTTATGTATCCTTGCACGAGAAAGGCATCTTCATATAAATAGCTTAACTCGTTTGAAATATAACAAATCCTTTTCAGGAAGTCCTGACTGCTAGAGTAGTTCAGAAGATTCATTACTCCATCAAGCGTTGAACAAGTGAATGATACCATGATGCAGCATCTGGTGACCCCAGTAAGGTTTATGTTTGGATGAGAGGTAATACTTGACATGAAAAGGTCCGCTTCCATCTGCAAGAAATCATAACCGTGATGTGATTCGAGAAGAGAGGCTCTTAATTTTTGATCAAGTTCGTCCTCTGCGTTTCTTTTCTTCGTTTCATCTTCACACGATACCATTATCTTAAGCTCTAAAACTGAACAAAAACAAAATAACTGCAAAGGTTTTGTAAACAAATGAAAAACATAATTTACTCTTCAGTTCTTACATACTGAATCGGAAATCAAGTTTACAATTTCTAAACGCTATAAAAAACAAATTTTACAATTTCTCATGTGATGAAAAAATAGATTAATAATAAACATACATATAGGCAATTTTACTTTCAAATCTCAGCAAATCACAGTAACAGTATTTTATTTTTCGAAAATTCCGCAATAATAATATTGTAAACTTCTTATGATGATAACTGACCATGATCACACTTGAATTGAAGCGCTCTTTCTTTCAGTTGTCTCAATCTCTGCTTCAGTTGATACATGTATTCTGAAAAAGGTATATTACATTTAAACCATACGGAGAAATTCACAGAAATCAAATGATGAAAAAAGTAAATTTTACCCAAACATTTATGCAAAGTCTAATTTAAAAGTACATGTACATTCATTAAGCTTTAAAAATATAGTTTAAAAGATGGAACATCTATTTCATTTTAGAATAAATAGCACAAAATGAATTTGATTATACACTTTGTTACATAGCGTTTCTTATAACATTCTTCTAAAGTAAAATACCAAAGTTAACTTTTGTTCATATATATGATATCTGATATTATAATATACCAAATATAAGATATTACCATCGTAAATGCATTTCAATGTCTTTACTGGAGCTCCAGTTTGTCTGAGTTGGTCTAAATAATCATCTGCATCACCTTCATTACACTTTTTCTTGTAGCGGTCAATAAGATTCTCAATGTGATGTTTCTTTTCTTCTTCAATTCCCATTGAAAGATATTTGAGGCTGCTAATCAAGTCTGTCCAAATGATAAGGAATTCGTCAGCATCTAAACAGCTAATAGCGTGCATTGCATAGTTTTGCCTGGCAGTTTGTATTTCTTCAATGTTATTTATCTCATCCATGCTTAAATCTGTAAATATCAGAAGAATGACAGATGCAAGAAGGCCAACCTCCCAGCAATTGTGATCTTTTTGGCTTGATTCTTGTGGGAAAAGGAACTGATAATATTCTTCCTGCATTGTTTGTAAAAGCATCTCTTTGTTTTCGGAAAGGAGAGAATCCAGACTCTTGTCTGCTTTTCTCAATTCTCTCTCTAGAATCCCACGGAGAGCAGTTCCACCCCCATCAAAAAGCAGCTTGACGTATCGAACAAATCGCTCCGGCGTTGTCTTAAAAAACGTCTGAAATTCTTTAACAGAAACAATCATCATTACAATTTTAATTGTAAATATCTTGTATAGTCTTTGAAAAGGTTTAACAACACTTCTTAAGATTTATGTATATGAGTAGTTTAAAGTAACTTTTCTAATATGATACACAGGTTTTTGAAATTTCTTGATACAAGCAATAGAGAAAAATGGAATCCCTGAAGAACGCCCAAACGACAAAACTAACAATGTTGCAGACTCAGTTTGATTATGCCTGGTCATGGACGTACTTTAAAGTGCAAATTACCGTCCAAACCCACTTATACCGGCTTAAGCAGAATTCAGTGTCAACTTTCAAGTACATATAAATAATCTAATCGCATTTATTGCAAACACGACTTTTTAGCATGTTTTAAAAAAGAAAGGTTATATTTTGTCTATTTTTTAATGTTAATAACATAGAAATGAAATCAAAATGTTTATAATTTGTGCCGTAGTTATATTTTAATCTTCTTACCTTTTGATTTCTTCATTAATTCTTCAACCTTTAAGATGTATCAGAATACACTTATTATTGTCAATATTAAACCACCTATAACTAACCCTTAAAACTTTCCAAATTAATGTTTAATATCTTAACTGCACACGAAATGTTAATAATTAATTCTTAAAACAGAAATTTAAAAAATACTAACACAAAGGTTTAATAAAACAAAACTATCAGTATTAAAAATTCAACAATATATCACTTACTTTTGTTTGACTTTTATTAAAAAAAAGATTGCTCTCAACTTAGATTATTGCTAATATTATATATATATAAAAACAAAAACAAAAAACTGTGAAAATATTATATGGCAGCCAGCTAAGCAATGTTCATTTTAATAGAAAATATTGAAATGATAATTACTTGAGTTTGCAGTCTCTTTGTTTCGTTGTCTGCCTCTGCCAGCTCACTTAGATATCTCCTTATTTTCCCATTCACATATCCAAAATGTAAGTCTTTATACTCGTTTAATTTCTTCTTCAAATTTCCCGCCTCTTCTCGATCAAAAGCTGCAAGAATCCTTATTAATATTGCTTCCGTTTTATTGAAAATGTGAATGTATTCAGCTTCATCGAGATTCTCACTTTCGCGATGACCAATTAATTCATTCTTAGTATTTCTTAAACGAAGCAGGTCTGCCCCAAGAGATACATCGTGATGTTGTGGTTTGGTATACCATCCTAGTTGTGGTCCTGATATTCTACCCCTGAATAATCCTAGGATTAGCCTAATCAACAATGCGATATCAAATTTTTCAGGATTCGGCCAACAGGAACTTACAAGAGTGTATTCATTTTTATTCAGGACACCATTCTGAAACAAATCTTGAAGCTTCACTTTTGTATTTTTTGTAGTCAAGAACGTTATGATATTTTCATTATTGTTCAAATGTTGAAACAACTGAAGAAGAGTGTCTTTTGTTAGGTCCATATACATGCTTGTAGTCCTAAGAAAGTATGTCCTTCCAAGGTTTTTACTCGTATTGTCTGACATGTTTCAGTTTTCATTAAATATCGTCAAATACGAATATGCTTTGAATAATGCAACCTTAAATGACAATGACAATATCGTTAAGCGAAATAAGTACAACATATTATATAGTATTATTTAATGTTAGTCTACTGAATTTTCTCCAAAAATATTCTAATTATGAATTGTTTACCCCTTCCGCTAAATCCAAAGTTCCCTTGAGATCATATCTCATCAGTTCCTACAAGTTTCATGCTTTACATATATAAAAATAAGCTCCTTAACGGAGAAGTACATCCAACAAGAAACGCAGCCAAAACAAAATCCAATTCCAATGGCACCCAAATGGTCAACAAAAGGGACCATTGCAGAAAGAAGGACGAATAATGGACTAAAGAGGATATCCAGTTGAGAAATTTGTAGAGGATAAGGGGGAAGTAGACAAAATTAGAGAAACAATTAGTGAGAGAGGAAATTTCAACATATTTAGGTTTAAACCCAAATGACAATGAACTATAGTTCAACAAAACAAAATTAATATCCTAACTCTCTGCCCCTGACACATAACGATCTCAAATATGAAAAAAATATCATTATGGATATCTAAATTATAAAACAATAATTACCCTTAACAGTTATCAAAGTGGTGAATTTAGTAATATGTAAAAAATTCAAAATCAGTTTTTAATGACTTAAAAATACTCGTACACTCTCTAAAAACATTGTTTCGATGTTTCATTCAAGATCAGGTACGCCCAAGAAATACCTTTCCATTTATTTTTCGAAAGCATTTTTATTTTAGGAACACTTCTATAGTTTCCAAAAAAGTTTCTCCATGGCAAATTACTCGAGCAATCTTTTCTTCTTCTGTTGCTCGTTGGCAATTAGTACAGTTATAACAACAAATAAATTTTGTACGGAAGTATAACTCATTTGTTTACATTTTGCTCCATTTATGACAAGTTATTTTTCAATTAACTCTTCTTTCTAACAAGCATCTTAAATGCTCTAAAATTATAAAATTCATGTTTGTCCTTTCAAATGAAGTAAATATTTATTCCTTTCTGAGGTATTATAATCCTTTAAATATTACATTATATACATGTTTTAATAAAGCCTTGAAAACCTTTAAAGTATAATTTTTTATCGATCAAATTGTGTTAATTTCAATCATATTGGTAACTATCGATCAGTTTATACCATTAAGGTATAAAACAAAAATTCAATACCTGTATTTTATCGGAAATCAGACTCTTTTCCTATTATCTGTCCTTACAGATATCTCATGATAAAGAAGAGATTGTTTTCTGTAATGTAACAATCAAGCATGTGAAAGTCGTCTTTAATATTTACATTACTGTACTGAGTAAACAGATTGCCCCTGACACAATTCCTTCTTTCCCATTCGGACAGTTTGATACCTTAGACTGTAAAATTTAGTAAAAGAAAATAACAATATTCAAGGGTATTGTGTTAAAACAATTAGACAACTATCGCGGCTAACAAAGGAATGACGTAAAAGTAGTAATTTAAGTAGAGTTATTTACACGACCATTAGAAATGATATTGCTAATTACAATAAACAATGTCATTAATATTATGGCACATTTTATTCCAACGAAATAAAGAATGGACGTTTCAGTTATATATAAAAAGAAGCTTAGAGTTTCTATAGCCTGGTTTTCTTTTCTATGATAGCCAGTTCAGTAATTTATGTAATGTAAAACAAAACAGAAGCTACGAAAAACTTATAGGTAAACTTCTTCTCTTGACATTACAAAAAGATAATACACGACTCTTAACTCAAGACAATATGTAAATTTAAACTGCTCTTAAAATAGTCATAAAAGAAGAAATTGAGATATGCAACTTACGTAATACAATTTTAACTAACTTTTCTATTAAAGAGAAATTTATATAGATCCTGTTACGAAAATCTAAATATAAAGAGATAATCTGAAGATTTTTGTACATGAAAATGCTAGCGATATGAATGAGTGAACTTCACAGATCTACTTACGTTAAGCGGCCATTATTATTGTTAAGTCGGAAATCGAAGATTCCCATTTTATTTATTGTTTCTTTTTTCTTGCTTGTTTTGAACGTTTTCAATGTATTAAGTATAAAATCAATACATGTTAAATGATATTCATCATTAATTCCATTAATCCTATAGTATCATGATTTAATTTTCAATCAAATATCGAAATATTATCACTTTAAAGAATTAAGCATTCTTATGTCAGGTCTTACACCACTAAATGTAATATCTCGTAAACATTGACGAAGCATATTTTGCTTTACTAAATGCTTTACTAAAATATAGTGCTTTCTGACCTTGATTCATATTTTCTTTATTTAGTATGATATACATGTAGTTGAGCATGACAATTGTTTGCTGTTTTTTTAAATATAAATAAACTTGAATAAAGAAAAAAAGTTTATGCTTCCTTTTCAAGATATGTAGTTCGACCGGAATGCATATAACAACTTTCCACGTTGACCCATCATTATCTGAAGGAAAAAACAACAACAAAACTTTCTTTCCACCGTGATGCAAGAGGCTGTGTACGAGGGCTGATCAAAAATAAACAGGACTGTGACTGTCAATTGAAGAATTTTCAACCTATCACTTATTGTTATATATCACACTTAATCGTAAAACAATACCTGTAAACTGATGCTATATCTAATCTGATAACGCAAATAGTTTGTCCGTAACAGCGAATTCAAAAACCATGGTAACGCACACCCGGCGCAGTGCGTAAATTTGCGTTGTCATCCGGCGCTTAATGCTGCGTATATTTTACAATATGGCTAAATTGGATTTCAAAATACGCCAAAACGTCATCAACTATATCTTTGACGTGTCAGAAAAAATGACTTCATTTAAATCATATTTATATTTGCAATCACAATTTAAAGGTCACTTGTTAAAAAAAATACTCGCGTTAAAACTGTCGTTGGAACGTCTCGGAAATCGATCAATAAGAAAAGTTGTTTGTCAAAAGTAAGGCGAGAAACTGTTTAAAACGTAGAAAAGGATTATGACTAACAAAAGAAAAGTTCCAGTAAGCCACGGCATAGTTTTTGATAAGCATAAATTATTAAGAAAGGGTAATAGACAAATAGAAAACAAGTAAGGGAGAAACAGAACAATTAAATTTTCAAGGACGTTGGTGACGTCAATCGCCGAGACGTTGAAAATTGACAATCGATTTGACTGCGGACATTGTCGGTGATGTTCGACAGTAGCTACGGGACGGTGCAGTCAACTCTAAGGATTTTAAAATGATAAAAGTTAATGCATTAATTACATATATTGTATTCTTGGTTTACAATTGTATAAATTATTTTATTAATTTACGCAGTGGTCTTATGGAGAAATTGTATCAACAATTTAACAGTCACGGTTCAAATTCGGCTATGCGTTTTATTTATTTTAAAATAATGACAATTTTGTTCTTAGTTGTATTATTCTTTTATTTTCTAGTATGTATGATACATTATCATTCAGCAACATTTTTCTACATTATTTTTAATACATAATATAGTTTATTGCATGTGCGATTTTTCCAGCAATCATGTTACAATAGGAAAGAACGGGAGTTTGCGTAATTACAGGAGCTCTTTATCACCATCCGTTTTATAACAATACAACATTATACCAACTTGTACAGAGATATATATATATTAGGCAGTGGATAACATGTGTACCACATATTGCCCTACTTTGTGTATGAGCAAAAAGCTGCTCCGTTAAGGACAATACGCTTGTGACGTCGTAAACGTCAATTTTTCAGATATACCGTGCGCCGCATTGCTTTACATGTACATGCCAATGAAAGCATAACTTTTTTTCTTTATTAATATTTTTTGTTGTTTTTTCTGTATCATATAGGGGAAAGATTCTGATTTATTGTCCGTGTATTTTTATGTAAATTTATTTATCAGTTAAAAAATTATTTACAAAGTCCGGATAATTTTTGATCATCCCTCGTAACGCTGGTAAACAATATTTATGGATCTCTAGGAAATATTGTTGAGTATTGATATAGTGAACGTATTTTAAAACAGCAATATAACAAATATATTATTATCATACGTCACAATTTATGAATTTGAACACAAGAAAACATATTTAAAGATAATTTCTTTCCATGATAGGCTTTGAAAATCATATTTTTATAATATATTATTTATTTTATTTAAAAGTTTTCTTTCCATGCTAGGCTTTTAAAATCATGTTTTAATAATATATTACTTATTTTATTTAAAAGTAGAAAAAGAATGAAAATGAAAATTTAGTCAAACAGTGGGCCATGAATATGAGATTTGAGAACATGTCAATGCAAGAAAATATAAAAAATGAAATTTTTTAAGACCAATTATACCTTAGAAATGCTAATATTTCATTTTTTCATAAGCTTTTTATTATTGGTGTCCTGTTTCAATTTCCATTATGTAGCTAATTTATAGCTGAACAATCCTTTGCTTTTTAATGTTTTTTATGTTTTTTTTAAATCATTACAGTTATAGTGATTTGTTAACATTTTGCTACCTTTATCGCATTTTCTTTCACATTCAGTGCTTTTTTTCTTCAGGTGATTATAATCTTGCATGTTTTGGACCCTTTCATTACAACATCACAAAGCACATATTTGCCCTTTCTTCAGAAGAAAAAATATTCATTTCTGAGGTTTAATGCAGTTTGCACTTGGCAGTACCGTCCATGAACAGGTTCAATCAAACCGAGCCTACAACACTTGCCGTTTTGAACTTTCCTAGAAGATCTTTAAAGAATGCCCACTACTGCAAAATAAAAAATGTTGCAAGCTCACATTAAATGAGACAGTTTTAGAAGTTGCAAGCAACCGTCCACGACCGCTAGCACTTGAAGCACTACAATAATGTATTGCTGAACGAGTTCACAAGGTCGGAAATTATATATAACATCTCTTATTAAATGTACTGGGCGAATGTTTTGGACTTTCTTTAGGGATTCTTATTTTCTCCACTCTAATATTTTTTATTCCTCACACTTAACTCACTCATAACTTAATGAAATCAAGATTTGGAGGATGTGAGTAGCTTGTTGCAGGTGAAATAACTAAGTGCATTCTTGTATTTATCAACACATATTAATCTAAAGAAGAAGTTCCGCTGTTGTTGTGTTGGCTATCCTGCATGCTGTATGGTTTTCTAAATAGGTTAGTAAATGAAAATATGTCAGGATGGAGTTAAGTTTCTGCCAAGGCAGTTTGATATATTAATCAGAAGTTCGTAACAAATTTAATGATAATTTTTATACAATATAAGCTATCTTCATCCGTATCCTGAACGAGGTTTAGTCAACAAAAACTTAACAGTCATGCAATCAACATATTTCATAACAACAACTATGTTTTAATTGTAGAAAACAGAACCATAATTCATTACTTAA